ATGATATTGAGTCGAGCGTAAGGACAGTTCCAGATACCGAAGACGTACGCCGCCGACGTTAAGGTATAAGCTCTGCAAGTTCTCGAGTTGCTCAGGGGTGATGCTCAGTAGGCCTAGGTTCTCATCCATCACCGCACCCGTGAGCTGCTGGTACGCATCGAAGGCCTCTGTCCATAGCACTCACTACCTGCACGACCTTACCAAGACGAAATGGCTTACCGGTAGCCAGAAGGAGAAGGGTGGTACCAGTGTCTATGACACCAGCGTTATTATTGAGGATAGGTGTGCTCCCGTAATGGACGGTCTGGTTGACACCATAAAAATTGCTGGAGGGAGAGGTGGTAGTCATATCTCTGAAGGCGGATATCTGAGCATTGCGCAAATACACGACAGACGAAAGAGGGACACTTACACAAAGTGAATGTCACCAATAAACTTGCTCCGGTCGATGTCACCGAAGGTGATCTCTCCGTTCGTTTCTGACACGTTATTCGTCGGCTCAAAGGAAACGCTTAGCAGCTTTTCGTCGATGAGACCCTGAGCAAACGCATTGTCCAAGACCGTAGGCACTGGTCCGCCGTTCCCGACGGAACCTGTACCGTATAAACAAGCGGTCAAAATAGATGTATGTGAAAGCGAACCTGCGGTAAGATCTGTTGGTCCAATACTTCCGGTGGAATAAGATGATGTCCTTCAGTGCGTAGAATGCAATTTCACTCACCCTAAGATGCCGTCTGTCCCGTTAAAGCCAATGGAAGCGTTGGCAACACCGATAGATTGTGCGATCGTCAAGCCTTCGGCGAGGCTCACTTGGTCAATGAACTCTGTGCCTGAGATATCCAGTGCTTAGTGGGGTGCAATGCTTGCTTAATCAGGTGGGGTTTACCATTGACGCCACCACTGCCGTATGTTTGAGACTGGATCACGGGATCAGCATGATAACAAATTGCTGAACTCCCCACGCACCATTGGCTCGCCTGTATCGTAAGAGGTAGATGTCGGGATGTAAGGATTAGAAGGGTCGGCGCCAACCCAAGTGTTGGAACTGCCGGTGTCCACAATAAGGCTAACTACGGCCATACAATGGGCTTTAAGGATGACACTGCAAGGTTGCGCTACCGCTTACAAGGAGTTGGGGGATAACCGACTTGAACCTAAGGGCCAGGCATGAGCATGCAGCGCCCAATAAAGAGCAGAGCGACAGGCTGACCGTCGCGAAATAAGTGGTCGCCGCCACATTCGTGGCCGGAAAAGAAACGCCAGCGCCGGAAGATGCTAACTTGTGGCCCTTCTGTGTGGCACTTCGCATGAGGGACTTTGCTCTCGCTTTGTCGAGCTCCACAAACGTCTTGGACCCGATCACGTTGATGCGACGGGCAAGCGACACTGTCACCGAGTTCTTGCGAACGGTCAGTGGAGTTGCTGCCGTGAAGAGCGCGAGGTAGACTGCGACGAAGAGTTGAGAGAACATTTGTACTGCTCGCGAAAGAGAACTCAGGCCTGAGTTGAGGCGAGCAGGCCATTCCAAATATTCATAGCCACACATCTCTAGGTTTGCTGTGGCAGTGTCCATGTTGAGGCCATCCGTCGATTCACATCGAGGTGGCCGAGACAAGCTGCCTCACCGGCTACTTTGAGACAGATTAAATTCAAGACATACAGTATGTTTTGCAGGGTGTGAAACAGGACCCCTGATAATTGGGCCAGATGCCTATCCGGAATCCGGACGTTTTTGGCCAAATTTTGGACCCTATGCCAGATTTTGTCCGAACGTTTTGACCTCAGCCCTCGCCGAGGCCGGGTGGGTGGTCCGGACGTCGGACCTTCGACAAAGGCGGGCCTGATTTTTGTCCGGACGTCAGCGGGGGTAGGCGCTTGGCCGACCAACCACATGATATCAACCTATGTCGGCCCGCCCGACGCTAAAAAGGGCAACACTGAGATAAGATCGACGGACAGCATGGCTTGGATATTTCAATATTTGCTTGTCTTACTTAGATTAGAGATGTAACCTTGTGGAATAAGAGAGATTGCACAATCTAAAGTCACAATTGTTACAGCTGATAGCTGGCTCGTTGCACAAGTGAAATTTGCATCGGTTAACATTGCCACCCCCTCGCACTCAGGACGAGGTCAGTATTATTCCCTATTCAAGGAATGGTTCTAACATAGCTTTTCTGTGCAGTGCTCATGCTCTATTGCCGTGGCGGCAGAAAGAATGGTACGCACGCGTGGATGCCAAATGAA